GACTTTGTATGGAACCGTATCATAAACATTTTCTCATATTTTGTTACTTTTGGCACTTCTCTTTGCAACCACTGTACTGTAAGTAAGTCAATAAATCAAATCCCACTGTGTTCTCAGACCCATAATTACAATAAACTCTGTGGGAATCATCGGGTTATTGCACAGCACATGCTTGTTTGATATTGATGGTGTCTATTGGCAGGAGCTGTGATTCATTGCTTTATGCTAAGCAGGTTTCTACTTCAGCCACTAACAGTAAAATAAACATAGGGAACAGATGTTAAAAGATTAAAAGTAGAAACTCTTGGGAGAATAACTTTGGAACTTCATTTGTCAATACTGATTTTACTTTGCTCTTTTTTTAGGATGGTTACGAGTTCAATCACATTCACCAAATGTGTATAGAGTGAGTGTAGAGAAAATAACAGATAAAATATAGTTTGAGTGAAAAAAAAGGTTTGATATTTACTTAAAAGGTTTTAGAGGTTATACAAAAGAAATATGATAACTTTCAAATAAGAAAAGTAGTTTTGATTGGAAATTCAAATTCACTTTGCACTCTGAGCAGTCAACACTCTGACTCCATATATTCACAGATGAATTTGTGTTACAGTGTAGTGTGTCTTACAGGAGATCAGTTACCCAAGTGGGTAGAAGGGACTCCAGGAATTAGGAATCCATGAAGGGAAAACAAGAAAAAGCCATAAGCCATGGAGAAGGAATCCTGGAATCAAAGATGAAAAACATTTGAAAGGGGGAATAAAGCTGATCCAGAAATGAATTGACATGGACTCATATGTCTTGAGAAGGAGGAAAAACCAAATAATCCTCAATGTGAGAGTAATGTAAGTAAAGAATGGGAAGAATCTAAAAGCACAAGAAAATGAGAAAGTAAAGAACAAACCTGAGTATTTAAAGCCACAATGAGGTTTGAGGATGAACATTGTCCTCAACAGGTAAAGGAGCAAGGAAGGCATCAGATAACCCACAAGTTTACATAATTCTGATTTAATCCTCAACTAATGAAAGAATTGCTTGTAAATCAGGAGATCCCTTGACCCGCACGAAAGAAGCCATCTCCCAATGGACTAAGGCCGACACTTCCTCCGCTGATATCGCTGAACCTGCAGCTGTTGTCAGGGGCTGTTGAACAGCAGTAATGTCGGTAGCCATTGTAGTCATAATATTAAATTGTGAATTCATAAATTTGACTGACTACTGGTAATTGAGTGAGAAATAGAATTAACAACCAAATAAAGAATTCCAACAATAGTGGATTATTATCAATACTTTAAAATGTGAAAATCAGTTACTGAATATTTTAAAAATGCACTAAAGAAGACAAAGAATATTTGAAATCACATACTAGGTCTTAACAGTGTCATGCCAAATCAAGAAGTGAAAGTTGGTTTCAACTCCACAGAGGGAGTAAGCTGTGATAGGAGGGTTTGTCACACTTCTATTAGTGGAAGACTGTCACATATTAATTTGCATGCTTAAACGTAGCTGGAATTAAGTGGGAGTTTCAAGGCTAGTGGTGAGTGAAAACTTGCACACTAGAGGGCATTAAAATTGAAAACAGTTGTCACATTGAGCGAAGGTAAGTAATCATATCGGTATATAGATTTAAAATCATGCCTGTTAAAAGAACAATAACCCAATGTTTCAACTATCACCATCAATCATTCTCATGGGTCTAACAAACTGTGGTAATTACATTGATACTTGCATTTAATTATTCCATTAATGGGAGAATTACAAACTTCAGACACAATAAAATTATATCTGCAGGGAATTTTAGAAAGATGGCATATAGCACATTTTAAGTCAAACTCTTGTTAACAGAGATACTGGTTGACACCGCACTGCTCAAATGGCACTATTCAAATATACGTATTGATATAACTGTTACAGTTTGCCAAATCTTTGAGAATGGCTACCAGTGGTTATTGCAACATCGAGGCATTGTTATTATTTTAGCTGGTGTAATGTTAAATTTATATTCAGTTTATTATTTATTTTTAAGAGCAAAGCCACAATGGGCTATCTTCTGTGTCCATCTTGGGGAATCAAACCCCATATTTTAGCACTGTATGTCCTTAGACTACTGTCTCACTTTATTATCCCAGTGGTTTAGATTTTTACTAGCCATAAGTTATGCACTAAATCAAAAATTAATTATAAAATTTTTCCTTCCTATACACTTTGTGATATATTCAGTTATCAAATGATCAAGTAAATCTGCTAAATAACAGGACATTTGCTCAAGATATCAGTTACAGAGTATTATTAAATTTCTTAATAACCGAGTCAATATAAAATGTCACTATTTATAGTTCAACTATTTTAAAATTCAATACATGTATCAATGTCAAAAGACAAATCAAGTAAGAAATAATGATAGTTACCGATATCTGTCTGGAAATTTTCCATAGAACTGAACTATAGATCGAAGATTAACCAAATTTAGACTTTCCTGAAAATAAAAAAGTTTCTTATGAAAAAAATAATGTGCTCTATCATGATTCAACAATAAAATAGAACATCTAACGTATGTCATACAAGAGCTAATAACTAACTAGTTTTGAAAATGACATTTATGTTACTGCAAGAGCACAATATCAGAAAAAAACCCAAAAAAGCCCAAACTTCTCCAGGAAACTACTGCTGTTCCACAAAGGAATCCTAGAGTCCAACATACTGGAGTATAGTAAATATTACTAAACTCATGGATAATATAGGATGCAACTAACGTCAGGTTCTAAACATCAGGTCCATTCCAGAACACCCACGTTCAAACCTTTATGCAACTACCCATCACTTAAGGGTTCTTGCAGGTTCTCAGAGTTTGTTCAAAGTTCTAGTTGTTTTATGGAAAGAAACTTACAATCAGAAGTTCATACACCTGTGTCAAAAAGCTATATGTATGCCACTTGTTGTAGGAGCAGCGAGTCATTCAAGTGGTAATTTAATTTTTAAAAGAAAACATGGTGAAAATGACCTAATGGTTGTGAAATTTTTCTATATTTTATTAGAAAATTCCATATCTATCTATGATGAAAGGAAAAACATTTAAGACCACATTTACTAAGTAACAGAAAGGTTAGAAAGGACAGTGATTGTTCAGTAGGCACAACTACAGCTAAAATGTTGGTGTATACATGAATTTTATTAAGTCCTGTGTGCTGGTATTTATGGTCATTTTTCATATCACATCTTATTAATTAATATTTTCAATAAAAGACATTTTGAGTTCTATTATTGCATCTTTTAAACAACAATACTTACTCATCATTTTGTTTATCTTCTTTTGTATTTCACATATAAAAATCTAGAACTGTGGTTCAGCATGAAATAATAATAAAACATTGATTTTTAAGCGAATCATTTCCTTTGCAAGTTGGGCAAGTGTTGTGAAACTAGCAAATAATTAGTTATTAGAGGCACTTACAGCCTAAGACCTAGTTCTTATTTTTACCCTTTTGAAAATAAGGCTGTTAATGCAAAGTGTTACCTTAAACTAAAATGAATAAAATACACTAATACTGATGTCCCTTTAAATCATTTTCAGAATGAAAATGCACCAACTACAGGGCATAGATATATTTTATTTGAGTGAGTAAACCAAGTGCTGCAGGAATGCTGACATGTGATCAATAATAGTTGAATGCTTTCAAAAAGAACATAATTCATACAAAAATCACTTGCACTAAGTGCATACTGACATGATTGAAGGCTGCCACCCAACAACTCCTGCTGTTTGAAGCACTGAATTTTCATATTTTGGAGCAATACACAATGGACCCACTAGTCTAATATCTGAAATTTACACAAGCATCTGCAAGACCAAAGGCCTTAATGGGTATTGGCAACTACCTTCCAAAAGAACTGGTGCTAAATTGTGTTTCTGTCAGTATAATAATGTAAAGAAATAATAGAGAGCTATAAAAATATAACTGAAATGATAAAAACAGAAGTGCAAGTTATAATATATTTTCATCAATGTTTTGTAAAGCATATGAAGAAATTATTAAAAATTTGATGGGACAATAGCAATATATATTATTATTAAAACTATTTTTGAAATATACTAGTGTAAGTTGCCACAGCTGGCAAAGTGCAACATTATATACACATATTGTAATTAAAAATAATCACATAAACTGCAGATGATTTTACTCGGTATACATCCTTATGGATTTTATATTAAAAGATGAATAATAATAATAAAGCACAGCAAAGCAAATTTATTCATTAACCCTGTTCACACAGGTGAGGGTCAAAGTGCACAAGCCACGATTTTTTCAACACAGTACCATTCAGCATGGTATTACATATCTGATGTCAGAATTACGAACTATTCATTTTTTCCCCCAAATTGATGATTAAGCAACAATTCGTGGTGCAGGAGAGTAAATACAGGGATGCTGAAAAAACTGTAGATATTCATTTTGGAGGTCCTAAAGTTATGCAAGGCAATACACAAACTGTTTGATGGACAAAAATATTTTTATTCTTCACATAAACATCACCTTCCACTCCTATTTGTCAGAGTCTCAGTCAGACAGCTGTTATCAATTCACTGACATATCTCAAGTATAGATACATTTGTAACACACCTGTTTTTTGTGTACAACAGACTTGTATGTTTTACTAAAAGCTTATCATCTTTCGTGTCAATACACACAGTAAATTTGGAATTATAGTCAACGTTCCTATTCCAATATGAGGCTGGTCCAACAGACCAAGCCCATGCACAATCGGTTAAAGCTGTTATACGGTGATACCACAAGTCTAAGTATGCATAGCTTTTCACATATCATGGCCAAATGTCTAGGCCCTAAGCAACAGACAATAGGGGCGATTTTTAAAAAATTGTGCTTATATCAAAAATATTATCAACCTATTCATTGTCAGCAGGAGTCTAATCATGAATTATGTATTTCAGAAGTAATTATTCAAAGGTTTGTGCACACAAGAATTAACACAGTTAATGTATATGTTGTTTAAGCATAGTTTTAATCAAGAGACTGAAAGCTCAGTAAATATTTTTTCCCCTTCCCAAGTTGAAAATTACCATTGAATATATAATAATATAAATATTTTCAGTATACTTCACATCCAAATGGCCCATAAAATTTCTTATTAAACTCCTTAATGTCAATTAATTTATGCTTTTCTGTCTTTCAAAGATTTTCCTCGTGAAAAGACATACTCAGTTTTAGTGAACTGTTTAGAAATTTATTTAGTGTTTACAACAATCTTAGAAACCCTGGATGTTGCATCTTCTGCTAGTGCTTGTGGATGATGAAAAGATGGATTGGTACTTGAAGCCCCATTCTTCGACTTTCTCTTTCTTTCTTCTTATTGAAATTTTGTGGAATATTTCTTCTTTGATATAGTCTGTGAAAATTGTACTGTAGTCTAATTCTACTTTTAATTTATTATTATCAAGACTGCAATCTTTGGCCTTTTGTTATGCAGTTTTTATTATATTTTGAGGTTTATGTCATTTTAAATGGTTATTTTTTTATGTATTCTTGAATTCATCCAAGTCTTTCTCATTAAAATTTACATTTTTAGAATTAGAGTGAATTTCAAACTGGTATTTATCTATGAAATACAAAAAATCTTTCCTTGATTGGTTACTTTCAAGCTGTCAGCAAATATATGACTAAAATTCTGAATGTCCTTGACAAAATGCAGATTATATGTCAACTTACCAATCGTTCTCTACTCTCCAACCTTTTACATGACTTACAGCACTTGTGTCAGGAGGACATTTATAACCCTTATATATGACCTTTATGCCATATAATCCAGATTTTGTGGCTGAAGTTGTAATGGAAACCACAATACCACCATTGTAGGAAGGTGGGTTGGAATGTAACTGAGAGGTAATTAGCTGTTTGAAATTCATATTTATTTAGACAAAAAAGGCTGACTTACTTCTAAGATGTAAAAATTCAGAATATCCACATTAAGATGGAAAAGGGAACCAGAAGAGAGTCATAAGGATCAGTGGTTTACAAGAATTTGGATTCTTATGCAGGAAAGCAACAACCATGACCATAGTAAATAAAAATATGATCAAGCAGAGTTGAAGAGTATCCAGAATCAGAATAATTTCAACAGACTGAATTAATGGGAAAAAAGTGGAGCAGATCAGCCTAATAAGAAATGAACAACCAGAAAATTGTCAGTAGGGTTCATCCTCACCTTCATCACCCTTTAAAATAACATATAAATAAAGGGAAGTGGTATATGTATTTATGTGCGAAACTGTCGCATTCTCAGGTGTGGCCGTACATGGTGACATAACATGCAGAGAGGGTCAGGTCACAGGGCCCTATAGCTGCAGTGGAAGTTTCTCAGAGGACCAGACCACTAATAGCTATAGATTGGTGATGCTCTTGAAGCTAAGATCTCTTACACATCAAACAAGGCCAGCCATGTCATCAAACCAGCCAAGTCATTAGGCACTCAGGAAGAATAAACAAAACCCAGGCAGACCCAAGATTGGCTCTAAAACTCAAAGACAATGTAATGACAACATTAAATAGGTTAAGGAAAATAAGTATAAAACAATAGGGTGTTTTTACATATGGAAAATAGTCATTTTATCTCCAGTGTGTCTTCCTGAATGCTATACAAAGACATGCATGTGGAAGTGAGAAAGGTACCTGCTGATCCATCATCAGCCATCTCATGAAAACCAGTAAAGAGGGTGGAATTTTTGTCTAGGAGAAACACAAAGGTATGTGTAACATGTGAGAGTCCTGACTGGACAATTCCATTCAAACAATGAGTCTCATATTATAAGGAGAATGTTTTTATTATTATTATTTTTTAATCAAATGATTCTACAACCTGTACCTATATTTGTTAAAAACAAGTGTTCAGCCTTTAGTGATGCCTGGGTTTCCATGCACAGCATAGGTGTGGGCCAAAGTTTTAACTAAGCATGGAACAGAGAATAACCAGAGAAAAAATGGGAACTGGGAAGTGGTAAGGAATACCTTGCCTCACTGGAAGAAAAAAGGGAGAAGTAGATGTGATGGGGATTTCGGAGGAACATTACACCAGAAAAGGAGCAATGTGTGTCCGCAAGACCCTATTTTGAATAGCAGACTGACAGTAATTTATTCAATCAAAAAGTCAGCTTTACTTATGAAGTCCATTAGTGACAGTCCACCATACATGAAACTTCCTAATATCTAGAAACATATGTATATACCACTGGGTACACCACCAATGATCTTATGGAACACCCCATCTCTACAGAGAGGATTATAGCACAATCAGTAAACAGTGCAGATTTGAGGCAAAGCATACCTGACCAGGCAACACCAACAGAGTAGGATACCATTATCAGTGATAAAAAAAAGTTTCTGAGAATAAAACATAAATAAAAGGAAGTGATAAGACTTACCCCAATCAAAGGCAAATGGACATGTCTAGAATCGCCACGGGAGG